GCTTATAGATGAATAAATATAGTACTTCCATTTTGAGGCTTGTATTACCTTCTAACAAGTGCAATTTTACACTGTACAGTTTAGACTCTTCACTTTCCATCACTTGGGTCTATATACATAGGCATGTTGATTTAATAAGGCTAACTGCCAGCATTCATAGCAAAACACCCCTAAAATGATTAATATGGAGTACCCTTAGGTTATCCACATCTTCAACTGAGAGTTCTTCATGCTCTGAAAATATTCCAGCGGAACTCTTTAGACTCTTTACATGAATGGTTCCCCTATAGACAAAATAAAAGAAACAAACAGTTCTGCAAATGTATTTTAAGTTTTAATGCTGGAATGCTGAAGCTTAACCTTAAGGAAGAGATTTGATTCAACTTTAAAATATTCAGTTTGCAAGATTAAACATAAATAAAAAGGTGATGGAGTAAGTGAACTATTTAAGAGTCAAGCTAGTAATGTTTAAGCTCTCAAATATCCTTAATCGACCACTATTATGTTATTTATTTTTAGACACGTGACATTGATGAGTCTAAGAAAAAGACTCGTTACAAACTCTTATAAAAGATCTTAAAAAAGAGCCTCCAACACACACACACAACACACACACACACACAACACACAACTAACACACTCACACATGTACACACACACAACTAAGTTGAAATTGTAAATTAGCAACTGTAAAGAGTTAAAAAGCTGACGTTTCAAGCGTTATCCCTTCCTTAGAGCGATTGCAGCCTGGCTTGGCTGCACATCTTGCATCTTTTACTGTCTCTAGCCTATTCAGAGTAACAGATACTTTTTTTCTTTAACTCTTTGACCTCTCAGAGTGATTAGCATGAAAGTTATTAGGGTCAAGAGAAAATAGAAAACGATCACCATCTAAAGAAGCTCTTGATTTTTTAACAAATTCTCCTTTTCAGCAATGTATAGAGAACAGTATGTAGAATATGTAGACTGATCGTGATGTGTAAAGGGTTAACTTTATCGAAGTTATGGTGCTTGACGCACATGCAATAGCATGGCTACCGGTACCTAGATTTGAATTTTTGCTTACCTTGGTTTAAAAACTGCATTTGTTCCTAAGGAATGAAACAAAAAGAGTTAAACTAATTCAAATTTGCTTTTATATGACCCACTGGTGCTAAAAAATTCGCACATGCACACTCACGCCGTACATGTAGATACACCGTACCCATAATGAAGGTACTTACCTTCATTAAGGCAGTGCTCTAAGGTGAAAACTAGCTCGTCTCCACGAGACTCCAGGCAAACAACCTTCAAGGAATTACAAAGTGATTACAGCTGTTCGGTTTACTCGCAAATACAATGTTATCATGATTTTTTCCTTACTCTTCCTCGATAAAACTTTATCTGAGTTCAAATTTAAATTAAAATTTCTGAATAATACACTACCATTTCCAAGGATATTCGAAGAAACACTAAAATAAGAGAGAGGATAAGGTTCTGTCGTCTGTCCGCCATTTTGAAAGTCACGTAAAGGTTGATGGTAGGAGTAGGCCTGGAGAAAAATTTAAAATCAAGATGGCGGATGCGTTGAGTTAGCGTGTATCTGTTGTTTGATGCAACTGGCCTTTTACTTCGGCAAATTGGGTCTCTGCTCTTTTTAGTCACTAGTGCTGTGAGTATTACTCATATCGCACAGGCATAAGTAATGGAAAAAGAAAGTACCAGTTTGAAACGCGAGATTAAACGTGCCAAGTTGTTCGAAGTGCAACGACTTGTGCGAAGAATGAGGCAATTAGGAAGCAAGAAGGGGACAGAAACTCAGTTAAGAAAGAACCAAAGGAAGATCGAAAGGTTTGAAAAGGAGCTAGAGTTTCTGAAGGACGCTACAGTGGCTGAAATAGTCCGCCGTGTCGCCAAAGATCAAAGTGAAGGCGAGCAAGTTGTTGATCATGTGTTCGAAGACCATGTTGAAGATTCACTTCCAGACAGTGATCTTCAGAGAAGAGCTATAGACAGGATCGTTAACTCAACGAAACTTCATAAATTTTTAGAAGGAATGTCTGCGAGTAAGAAAGAGTCAGCGCGATTTGAAAAAAGAAGTAGCAAAAACGAAAAGAAACTCAACACTGTTGGCGAAAAAGTGGCCGTCACTGCGAATGAAAAGTCTGCTTCTGGTAACCCTCAGGTGAAAGAATATGAAGATAATGAAAAATGTGATGCAAAAACGGAAACAGCAATGGTGCAAAAAAGACAGAAATCTTTAAAGAAAACACCTATTACAAGTAAACTTGCTCCAGCTAAAAAGAAACAGCTTCAAGAAATCTCAGATCAAGATGACCTCTTTGTATCTGGCTCAGACGTAAGTTTCAGTGACTCAGGAGAGGACACTGACGATCTTTCTTATCCAGACTTGAAACCTAAAGGTTTAGGGTCGTGCTTTGTTCAATCTATGTTGAGAGTCAAGGATGATAAAAAGGTATTCTTGAAGGCAAAAGGCAATTTAGGAAATAAGAAAGCAAAAAGAGCTGATAAGTTGGCTAAGAAGAACCGTAAAGGACAGCGTGCACGGCAGCAGATGTGGGAAAAGGTACATGGAAAGAGTGCAAAGCATTTGGTAAAGTAAGCAAAAGAATACTCATCAAAGGATATCAATAAAGGAAAGAAATTGAAATCTAATGATGTCAAATTGCAGCAGCCTACCAAACAGACAAACAAGGAAGAAATCCTGCATCCATCATGGGAAGCTATGAAAAGAAGGAGGTCACAAGAAACTATGTCGGTTGAATTTAAGGGAGAGAAGATAAGATTTGAAGATTCAGAGTGAACTTAATGAACCCTTACTTGTACGTCATGCTTTGATTTTATCCTTTAAGTTCTTGATGTTTGATAACAAATATAAAAGAAAAAGGAAAAAAACTGAACCAATGATAGATTGAGTCACAACATTTATTCAGACTTGGCAAAGGAGATGCAGTTGCAGGTTATGACTTTTTGAAAAGTGTGGAAGAAATTTCATAAGTTTTCCAGCTGCAGCCAATTTATCTGTGTTATATCCTTCTTTCTTGTTGTTTCCTGGTCATTTTTTGTGCATTGTTTTTTCTGCCAAATAGCATCATTCTGAAATTTTGTGTTGAGTTAAAGGTTGTTTTGCACTTCACAAATGTGACCCGAAATACATGACACACTGGAGAGACCAAAAGCAGGCACCAACTCTTTACCAAAAAATATTTTCTGAAGAGTGTAAAAATGAGTAATTGGCTCACCAAAACCCAGCTTTTGGACAACAGTGCACTTTTTCTGTTTGTCAGAGTTCATAATTTGGCATTATCTCAAGCTAAATCTCTTCTCAGATAATTTTATTTTAACTGTGAAAAATTAATTTCAATATGAAATGCTGATCATGGGTAGAGGTGAATTATCATATTAAAATTAGCATTCTCCAATATGAACAGTTTTGTTATAAGAGAGAGTTTAGAAAAACATGATATGCCTTCTCATAATTTGGGCGGTTATCTGTTAAATCTATAGTCTCCAATCCAACCCAACAGAAGAAAATGATTTCAACTAAATGCACCTTGGGTGGTTACTTTCTGAGCATGGCAAATAAATAACGATTATTTTTTATGTGCATCAATAGAAACTCTATAGCAGTCTTTCTATGTACCACTATTAAGGGTGTGACTAAATTGGGGAGAGATCCAAAGCTGCCTGTAACCCATTCTTACCATTTAACACTGTAAAATATCATAATAGAAGAACCTAGTTTAGGACCTGATGAAAATTTTTCCTCACACCCTTGTGGATATTCTTTGAAGTGAAGGCCTGAGGGTTAAATACCCTTCAGCGAATAAACCGGACGAAGATCTAAAGTTTCGCCTCACAAATCAAGCTAGATGAACGGCTAATGGATCTCTCAAGTAAGAGAGCTGTAAAATAGAGACTGCCTGTTGCATTTCATGTCGTCCTGTGAATCACCAGCAGAAATGAATTTTAATAACTTGAAGGCGTCAGAAGATGTAATTTTACAGAAGCATGACCCAATCAGTATAGTACTGCGTGAAGCAAAAGAGGATCGGAGCTAAACTAAAACGTGCGCAGAGTCAAATGAAAACAAAATGGAAAAAGCCGGTGAAACTGAAGGAACCACTATTCACTGAGTAACCGATAATGCGGAAAGTGAAGTAGACCTTGAAAGATTTCCCGCCTTTCAACGCGTACGCATGCACGGGGTTAAAGCGCGGGAAGATGTTTGCAGCCGCCTCTCGCCTAGTCTCCTTCGCAGCCGCTCGGGCCGGAGTCACGCAACACTCCCCGTCCTCGCCTTTCTGATTGTGCCTTACTGTGTTGCAGAACTTGAATAAAAGCCGGAACAATTTTTCAGTGAAGTCTCTTTTTATTATATTTCTTGTAAATGTTATGGTACTTAAATGTTACCTTCTCACGTGCTTCTCGATGTCAATAGGCATACATTCTCCTTTTAAGTTTAAGAACAAGTTTTCTTACAGTAATAGTTACTTTTGTTACTTTTCTAAAAGTCGCTGCGGTTCTGAGTGCAACCAGTCTGTCCATTGACATATTTACGATAGATATCTTATGAAGAATACCATTTGGCACGTTTCATCAAACTCAAGGAGATTAGTGAAGACTGACAAATCGTGCGTACAATTATTTGAATTCGAGAGATATGTCAACGAAAATGCTTATTCGTTAGTTAATTTCTTATCGAATTATTTATTTACTTGCCCACCAATCATTTAATTATTAGCAATGTGTGATTGTTGATATTTTGTTTGAAAATCTTTCTTCCTTTATATCGAGACAGTTGTTCAAGCTCTCTTGAACGTCTTCTGTCAATAATATGTCACAAAAGTTAGAGTGACCTAAACCCTAAAAGCCGCTTACATTAGCTGAGAAATATTACAATAAACCCAGTCTGTCTAATTAATAAAGAAAGTTCTCGTATGTTGAATCAATCTGCTAATCTGCATCTGGTAACGAAACCTCTTTGACGAGCCGCCCTGACACGTCATCTAACTGAAGGTAGTTCTTTATCTTAATACCTGTTTCTGAAACTAAGTAAAAAAAAAATGGACCTCAGTTAGTTTCATTGCAATTGGTCATCTTTGCCAAGCCTGGCCATTTCTCTTTATAAATGACTTTCCAGGCACATCAGATTGTTCTTCAGCTTCAGCCACACCGTTCACAAACACGCCTGTGTCACTTGCATTGTGATTTTGATCTCGAAACAAAGGCACCGAATTGATGGAGGTGCTTGGCATATCATCTGCTAAAACCACCTTACTACCTAACGCGGTACTCTTTGTTTCTTTACAATTTGCACGGCTCGAGATGGGCTGCACATCGTTCACGCGTAAACGAAACATCTTTTTGAAGCTTTGTTGGAACTGCGGGTTCATGATGCCGTATATGAAGGGATTGGTGAGGCTACTGCAGAACACGAGGTAGTAGGCGAATAAGTGGGCCCAACGCGGACTCTCTCCTCCAAACACTTCGATGAAACCCATGACAGAGAGAGGCGTCCAACAAGTCATGTAAACACAAACCACCACGAAGGAGGTCTTGAGGACTTTAGTCTCCGTCTTCTCACCAGATTTGCGGACCAGGTTGCTTTTGACGTTGCTCTTGGCTGCATGTCCCTGCATTCTCTCCCCACTCGCTTTTACCGTTTTGTAAATGGTGTAATAACACCATGATATGACAGCGGCTGCCAAGAAAATAGTCATGACGCAAAGGGTTATTATAAAAGACACATCGGGTAGGTTCCAAACACACGTGCAGTCGGCGAACAAGGCGTGGTAGTCAATCTTGCCCCATCCGTATAGCTGCGGTGTTGTGGCGATAATGGGACCCAACCACGTAAGAAAAATTATGATGTAGGTGATTTTTTTCGTAGAAAAGTACTTTATATAAAGGTTTCGCCGGACTATGTTGAAGTAACGATTAAAAGCGATGCCTGTCATCGTAAATAGCGACGCAATTCCGAATATCAACTGTGTCAATCCCACTAGCTGGCAAAGAGCTTGACCGAATACCCAGCGTCCATAGCGGAGACTTATAACCCAAAAGGGCATGTGTAGGGCTGCCATGAAGATGTCGGTAAAAGCCAAGTTTTCGACCAGCATATTGGTGATTGTATTGAGTCTTCGATCATAATTGATGGCGATTACTATTAAAGTGTTTCCTGTAACTGCCACAAGGCACATCAATATGCCTATGGACACTTCGAACCATAGTTGCAGTTGCGAGCGGCCAAAAATATCGTCTTTCGAGTTTCTCGCGTCGGAGAGGGATTGAGTTAGGTTATTACTCATTCCTAAGAAAAGAAAAAATTTAATTTAATTTAATTTAATTTAATTTAATTTAATAACCCCGCAGGAAAGAGTAAAATGTGGTTCCATACAAATGAATATGTCTAAAATCCCTAAAAGAAAGGGATCGAGATTTAGTTCAGAATTCATTTCCTCGAATGCACTTTGTAAATAGCTAAGTGATTAGCCTCGGGTTAATTGGTTTTTTATCATTGATTTTTTTTTATAGTTCTTTTTGTCTGAATCTTAATGGTATCCCGGTATTTGTGCTGAGGTTTTAAGCGGAAAACACAGGTCATCCTACAAAGTGAGGAAATCTTCGAGTTAGCGTGTCAAGCATTTTAACCTCGGTGGAGCCCTATCTAATCCTCATTTTCTCAATATTATTTGTACACGTTTTCTTTCTTTTTTTTAACTACCAAAAAATACGTTGATAAAGCTATTTAGTTATACCACAAAAAGGCTGTTTCAATGGCGATAATGTCAAGCTCAGTCAGTGTGCGCTGTATTCAGTTTCAGTAACTGACTTGTCCTGTCTGCAAAATTGAGCTGTTTTACTTGTTGAGAATAAAGTATGCATCATTACTTGTCCATATATCATTGGTTAATAAAAAATTCTGACAATTTATTGAAACAAACCACCTCAAAGATGAGCCGACCTGTCTGTCACATATTCAAAAGTCTCATTAAATAGCATTTACAGCACAGTGGGCGAACTGGACTACGAAAATGTCAATAAGCCGTGTCGCGATTAGCTAATAAGATAATTTTTGATATCTTCACACGACTGCCACTCATAGTTCATTTTCTTTAATTATTCACCTTAACGCCCAAAGAAAACATTCTTCCTTTAATCTTTCCGACTGCTGTGATCATAAATTCTAATGACTTTTCTTCTGTCCTTAAAGGAAAGACAACGAATGAATTTAGACCTTTTTTGTTTTAAATATTAAGTAAAATTTGTCAGAATCCCCAGTTCAATCCATCATATTTAGCGAGATTATCCATTGAATTGCGATTTCGTCTGATAAAACACGACACTTAAATGTTTCAGGAGGTAAAATGGTTCAAGATAAACATTGATAAGACAGATGGATTTTTAAGCGCTGAGGCCACCGACCGCAAAGCAACGTTTTGTGTGCATTAGGGAGATAGGATAAATCATACTCTAACAGCTACCCAAGATAGGTTTAAATGGGCATTTGTTCCACGAAATCGTTGAAAGTATTGTGCATAATTTCACATTTTATGTTTGATGATAAAGCCGTATAAACATTAAGGAAATTTTCAGCGTCATTGATTGGTGCTGCCACTCCTTCGTATTGACATGGTTCATTCAACTCTCACTTCGAATTTCAAATTTTATTTTTCTTCAACCCTTCACCTTCAACCACTCGGTACACTCCGGATTCTCTTGATGATCATATCAAATTTAACACCAACACTACCAACATAAGCCAGCGTTGATTTGATTTATTTTTTCTTGCCATTTGGTTGAATTCACGTGGTGGTTTACTCAGAAGAAAATGTACTTTCCAAGACAAAGTGTGAATTTTGGGCGTACGTCAGACCAAGCAAATAATTGCCAGTCTAAATGTTTTTAACTGTATGTGGTGTAACCAAAGATATCCATCTATTTGCCAAAAGCGAAAGTTTCGTTTTTCATCTTTTTTTATTTATTTTGTTTCTTTTCTGAGCAATTCCTAAATCTCTTTTCCAAAAAATCATACGTTTTAAGCTAAATTTAAAACAGTTGAATGGATTAATTTCTGTGAAATTTTGTGCTAAGGATACGTGCAAACTACTTTCTGCCAGTTATCTAAGACATCATGAAGAACGTTCAAAAACCAAGTCCTCTAGAAGAGGAATGTTGGCCTCTCAGCTCGTGAGTTGGAGGGGTAACAAATGTGCAAAATGCAGCCAGAGTTCCGAGGAAAGAATCAAACATGATCATGCTTTTTGCAAGAAGTGGCAAACAAGGCCATGGAAAAGTTGTAGGTGTAATAAAAAACAACCTTAACTTGTTGCCTACGAGATTTTGATGTAGAATTCAAGCAAAGAGAGCCAGGAATAAATAATGATGATTTCGTGAAGCACTGATCAAGAGAAACTGCAGCTTAGAAAAAGGTAATTTAAGCGAAGGAATAAAATGGTTTAATATAAAATCTGCTCAGTGATAACTTTTGATAACTTAACTTACTTCAGGAAAAGGGTAGTCTTCAAATCAAGAGTTGTTCTCTCCTCTTTACTATCCTTTCCTTGCCTGTTGAGATTTCTTCGTTCTAAAAAAGATCTGATTCATGACATGGTGAGGTTATTCGAGAGAACACACGTGTTCTATACCAGCTAGGTATTTCAATACATTTAAAAATGATTTACGAGCGAAATTAATAACACTTTTTTGTTGACACGTCGAAGAAGGCCAAATATGAATTATCCAGGGCCTAAAGAGTCATTGGTTACAACACACCGTTTTGGCATTTTCGGACGTGCTGTCAGTCAGATTCCTATCTGGCGCGCCTCGTTGCCGAGTGAAATTATCATGTTCGCTGTGGACTCTGTAAATAACGTATTGAGCAGGTGGCGCTTTCACAGAATCTTACAATGAATTGTCAAGCCTTTCTAAAGATCGTAAGTTTCTAAAGTGATTTGATCATCATACGCAAGTTGGAAAGAAAAGAGCAGTGAACGTTTTCAAATTAGCTATAGCGGGTCGGTTTCAAATTTTCTTTGCTGGCTTTGTCATTTTTATGAAAATGATCTGCCCGCTGTTAAAATTATTAATTAGAAAAGAGTAAATAGGCACTGCCATAGTCATAGAATGAGTTTCTCGGAGTCAAATGACTTCGGTACAGAAATAAACTAATGTGACACACTTTTTATAGGTTTTCATTCTGATATTTTACAAAATCTAAGCAATGCGTTACCCAGACATTTTTTTTTCTTGAGAAACTAAGACCCGCTTATCCTTGTTTCATTATTTATGCTATTTTGGGCTTAAGGCCTGGTTTGTGTATTCACTTCACGCACCCTGGATGAATGCCATTTTTCCAACTAGTTTTATCCTTTTGCCTTTGAGGACAATGGGTTCATTTTCTTTATCGTACGTCAAGAGCTTGGCAAAACTTTCATTAAATTGTTTTGTCACGAACTCTAGGGTTGTGTCGAAAAAAGGGAATTATTTAATAAAAATATTCTTACAAAACCCCTAAACACTTTACTGCTAGATATTCGAAATTATACCAGTGCAGAGTTAAATTAGCGGAATCAAAGGGTGATATTTCATAGCTTATAAGTTAAGCTGAGAACTGAATAAAGAATTTTATGAAGCATGTTTTCTTTCAGCAAGGAGAAAAATTCCAAAATATTCAGCAATTAGCATAGATAGAAGAGAAATAAAAAAAGAAGATCTCAAAAATATCTGTTAGGTACATAGCTTATAGTCTTAATCTAAGTCTCGAGTTTCGTCCACAGTTTGGCCTTTTAAGTGGGTCATTAAAAAAAAAGGTGAAAGGAAACAGCACGCCCGAGAATAGGATATGGTGAGTTGCAACGAAAAAGATCCCGTATAGATACTTCCTACAATATATTTCTTTTTCTTCTTGTTTTAATACTGCATCGATGGGAAAGAAATGCACCATTTCCTTGGTTTGATGATTTGCGTTTGTGGTAGATATTAATTCGTACCGATTGTTTCCCTTTTCGTTTCTTTAATCTGTTTAAGCATACTGAAGCAAAGTGCATAATGTTAATTATCTCAACGTAGATGGATTGCTCAGCGATGGACCCCCAAACCAAACCTTAGACGGTGCTTGCTGATACAGACTCTAAGAGATCTGGAAAAAAATATGCCCATAGGCCTTTTGATTTTTTCTTAAACGGAGTAAGAAAATAGCTGAATCAGTTGACTCTCTAATTGTTCATCACAATTATTTGCATCGTGGACCTTAATTATGGTGCCTTTTTAGCTTTATTATGTATATTTCTTAGACTACCATATATTCGTTGCAAAAGCTCCTTGTAACAAAAAGGTCTGAAGCTTAGCGCTAGGATTCTTATTAAATCTTCCTTAACTAAAGGAATCACCCGTTAAGAGTTTCTCATTTCGAAATATCTCGTACTTCGTTTTAAACCGCCACTGCAGTTTTTGTTATTAATATTTGCTCATCTCCCAACCAATATCCTGGAACTAATATCCAAGCATGTTCAGGTGTACCTAATAACATCCATTTACTTTTATTCGATCTGATCGTTCTGCTGAGATGTTAATTGCAATCAATTGGTAACATTTTCGACAAGAATGATTTGCTTGCTTTTCAACTTTGTGAAATAAAACCAATAAGGAATGAAAGTACAGCTACGATACAAAGGGTATTAACTACAATCGACGTCTTAATTTCGCGAACTGAGAACGGCAACAGTCTCGAAGAATTCATTGATGCAAAGAAGGAAAAATGTGGTGCTATTTGTTGATGTTATACCAATTACTCGCGTAACATAGGACATGTAATTCTCAACCAACTGGTAACGAAAGAGGATCTTCAAAGCGAGATTTGTTTATTCTGTTAAGAGTTTGTGCCATTTAATTTCAATGGCTGAAAGAGTCTCAAGCAGACTACGGCAAACTTTTCTAACAACATTGCATTTCCTAATCTTTAGAAAACGTCCAAATGTTCCACTGAACGAACAAATTTGGAAAAACTGAGTACGCANGTCATTAAAAAAAAAGGTGAAAGGAAACAGCACGCCCGAGAATAGGATATGGTGAGTTGCAACGAAAAAGATCTCGTATAGATACTTCCTACAATATATTTCTTTTTCTTCTTGTTTTAATACTGCATCGATGGGAAAGAAATGCACCATTTCCTTGGTTTGATGATTTGCGTTTGTGGTAGATATTAATTCGTACCGATTGTTTCCCTTTTCGTTTCTTTAATCTGTTTAAGCATACTGAAGCAAAGTGCATAATGTTAATTATCTCAACGTAGATGGATTGCTCAGCGATGGACCCCCAAACCAAACCTTAGACGGTGCTTGCTGATACAGACTCAAAGAGATCTGGAAAAAAATATGCCCATAGGCCTTTTGATTTTTTCTTAAACGGAGTAAGAAAATAGCTGAATCAGTTGACTCTCTAATTGTTCATCACAATTATTTGCATCGTGGACCTTAATTATGGTGCCTTTTTAGCTTTATTATGTATATTTCTTAGACTACCATATATTCGTTGCAAAAGCTCCTTGTAACAAAAAGGTCTGAAGCTTAGCGCTAGGATTCTTATTAAATCTTCCTTAACTAAAGGAATCACCCGTTAAGAGTTTCTCATTTCGAAATATCTCTTACTTCGTTTTAAACCGCCACTGCAGTTTTTGTTATTAATATTTGCTCATCTCCCAACCAATATCCTGGAACTAATATCCAAGCATGTTCAGGTGTACCTAATAACATCCATTTACTTTTATTCGATCTGATCGTTCTGCTGAGATGTTAATTGCAATCAATTGGTAACATTTTCGACAAGAATGATTTGCTTGCTTTTCAACTTTGTGAAATAAAACCAATAAGGAATGAAAGTACAGCTACGATACAAAGGGTATTAACTACAATCGACGTCTTAATTTCGCGAACTGAGAACGGCAACAGTCTCGAAGAATTCATTGATGCAAAGAAGGAAAAATGTGGTGCTATTTGTTGATGTTATACCAATTACTCGCGTAACATAGGACATGTAATTCTCAACCAACTGGTAACGAAAGAGGATCTTCAAAGCGAGATTTGTTTATTCTGTTAAGAGTTTGTGCCATTTAATTTCAGTGGCTGAAAGAGTCTCAAGCAGACTACGGCAAACTTTTCTAACAACATTGCATTTCCTAACCTTTAGAAAACGGCTAAATGTTCCACTGAACGAACAAATTTGGAAAAACTGAGTACGCATCACAGTTCGTAATCAGTACGATAATGGCATTCTATGAGAAAATATCGCTGAAGATTTATCGATTTCAGTGACATCTTAAAGCTATCTATGAAAACGAGAAGTAGCAGGTTTCATAGGTACGATAATTAAAACAGTGACAACAGAAACACTCATTTGTATCTGCCTGAAGAACATTTTATTGAAACTTTTTGACATGAATATTATCCATTGCGTTGTGTCTTGATTCTGTTTTTAAGTGATTGAACTAGTGATGGTAATCTGTCAACAAAGAAAGAGAGTGTCAAACTAACTAAATTAGGGAATACGCAAACTTTTTCAACATCCATCTAAGGTTGCTAATATTAGATTGTTAAAGGTTTTCCTTAGTGTCTTTACATTCACAATGTAAAATTGTGTGTTAGTGTGTGTGTCTTTAAACTCAGGCGAGAGAAAGGTTTTTTGGACAAAGTATGACCTCTTTTTTTCTGTCACATGTCGTTGTTTTTATCATTAGTAGTATGCTGAGAAAAAGGGCGATTAATAGGTAAGCTTAAATGGGAAATTTAAATGTATCGTTCTCGCGAATCTAGTATAACTTGATAAATGTTCTGGATGATTAGCGATTACTGACTGTCAGACGTACTTCAATTCAGATGAATAAATCAACTAAGAAATCATTCAGTGAACTTCACTATCCATGTATTTCTGTTATTATTCTCATCAACATAATCTCCCAACATGCAATTCATTTGAACTTTGCTAATGTGAAATAAGTGCACATCTGAGTTTCAGGATTACTTTGTAAAATAAAGCCCTAAGGGGAGACTTATTCCAGACGAATTATCAACGAGAACATAAACTTACTTTTAGTTGGCTTCACATGAAGCTCGAAGCACGGTGTTCAGTCGCACGAAGAGATCCTCGAACTTGTCAACATGGATAACATTCGCCATTTTTCCATTAGCAATCTCATTGAGTTCACTGTAGTCGATGCCGGAGCCAACTCCAACGGCAATCATCCTTACCTTATTATCCTATGACATGAATAAGCACACGATGCGGTAAGAATTTGGTATTTCATGAGCGTTATGCAATTTTTCTTTACTTTGCAAGAAAATGTTTGAAAATTCTTGATAAATGCAGCTGACTATTAAGAAGTAATTTGCATCTGTCATTCTCATCATTGCACAATGAAAAGGAAGGGCTTAAAAATCAGCCGTTGATTTTTGAAGAATAGGTAAGAATAAATTTAAAAATAAAGTTCTTAACACCAAGAAATATGCACGTTTGAGAGATTTCGTTTCGTCCTTCGTCTCTCGACGTCGATCTATAAACACTCAACCTTTCAGAGGAAAAACAAAACCGATCGCGACTTGGTCATCCATGTTTTCTCATGCTTGTTGACAATTTAAAGCGAAAACAAAACAAAACAAAACAAGCAAACTACCTCATTGTTATATTTTGCTTTGTGCTGATTAGCATTCGTGAACAATTTTTCTTCTCGGCCTCGCGAAACTCAATTATGACATGACCAAAGTAAAGCGCGCGCTCTGATCGGTCAATTTAGCATTCCCCATTTGCCTATGGCTGTACGCTGCTGACGTGAGCATATGCAAAGACTAGTTTTCCGCGCGCGCTTGTTTTTTTCTGGTCACGTAAGATTTGTTAAATAAAAGGGAACTCTTTAGCTACAATGTGTCAATGTTACGTTATAAAACAAATGGTAAACACCACAGCGTACACTATTGAGTTATGGATGCACTTGGGAGGTTTGCTAAGCACTCAAGAAGCTAGAGTCGCTCTCGGCTATCGCCTCGAGCGACTCTTACGCTTCTTTCGTGCTTAGCAACCTCCCGCGTGCATCCATAACTCAATAGTGTACGCTGTGGTGTTTA